CTTTGTCACTCTGAGCCTAGATTTCCTTATCTGTAAAATGGTGATAATAATATACTACCTGCCTAATAGGATTGTTCTAAGGCAAGTGCCTTCACATTAAATGTAAATTCAAGTTATCGTTCCATGTTTAAACAATTGTGTAAATCTTTTCAAAAGTAGGCTCAATTCCTACCTTTGGGTTAAAAAAAACCCCACAACCAGATGGAGAAATACAACCTATGGGAGATGTGGGTAAAAAGTAGCTCATTTGAAAAACTCTTGAGGATTAGAGAGCAGTACAACCTCAACATGAGTGAAAAGAATGATGCAGCAACTAACCATCTAACATGATCTCAGGCTGTGCGGAAGTCCTCTGTAAAAGGAGATAATAGTCATGTTGTACCCTCCATTGTAGCCACGCCATATCTAATGTATGGTACCCAGTTCTGGGTGCTATATTCTAATGCTAGAGTGGCTATCTGATGATAAGTATAGCTGCTACCCCCAGCTGCCTCTAGTGATATGTTCTTTCTAACACACTGTCCACGGATGCTTGGCCTGTGCCCCGGCCACTTCTGTGAGACATACACTTTAGATTCTTGATAAAAGCCATATATAAACCAGCGGCTTCTGGCTGGTTCCCAGGTGCCACCTCCACCTGCCTTTCCCATCCGAGTAGCTAAAGCTGCCGATTCAGGGAGGCCAAAGTAGAGACCATTGTAATAATCCAAGAGAGATGTAAAGAGAGCTGGAACTGGGGTGGTCATCGTGTGAGTAGAAAGGAAAGGTGGAAGCAAGATAGACCAGAAGGACGCAAGAGAGCTAGATCTCTCTGATTCTTGTCCAGATCAACTTTATGCTACTTACAGGGGAAATTGGAGAAGTAGTCATCCATGTAGCCAGGCAGCATGATTAATATTTCTCATGAAATGTGTGCCTTGCGTTCAATTACACATGTTCATTGATGTACATTTTAATTCTTGTACATTTTGAGTACGCTCATGTTTTATTATTTTGTTATTTGTGTTTATTTGCTTAGGTGTTCACATCATGTATGCACTATAGATACAGTGGTCTCTTAGCTATGTGTAATTCTGCTAATACTCCTTTGCCTATACTGGTATACTTATTTGCTTGTGTGGCTATACATGTAACGTTATATTATATTCATTTAAAATATGTCTTGCGTGTAATGTGTATCTGCAGTCACTGAAGCAGTCTCAAGTAATACTGGAGATTGTACTCTATCAAATGAATGCATTGCTAACATGTATCGGCTGTGAATGAGATCTTGAGATGATTACTTGGGACCCTGGGTTAATAATCCCTGTGTTGTCCAATGTTGATGTTCATTTTGATGCTCATGTGGTTTCATATTTCAGGTATACCACAACTGATTTTACAAGGGACTAAAAACTTATGATCCTAGGGAGGAATATAGCACTGTATTGACCGTACCTTTTGACTATACCTTAACCATCATCAAGGATATCAGGACATTGGAGACTGCTGACTGTGGCATTGGGGAGATATTTCCCTGCACCTTCTTCATTGACTGATTTCCACTTTGGGGCTTGTGTCCTCCCACCTTTGGATTTACAGAAGTAAGAAGCAGGAGGAGAAGGCAGAAGATAAGGAATTGCTTCCATGAAAAGCTAATTAGACGTGGTCAACAGCTACAAAATTCTCCCGTATGCGTGGCTTGAATGCTGGTATCAGGGTTTCCCTGATACCCTGTCGATAATGTTTACTTTTGGTGCCCTTCCTTCCCTTCTCCATTGGCATAGCCAGGTGTGCCATTAAAGAAGTCTTCCCTTCATGGCCCAAGGCCCTCATTCTGTTCTCTACTTCTGTGGATATAGTGAATAATATGGTATGCTATAGTTTAATAAAAGGTCAGAATTGTGGGAAAGCACTCCTATTCCATTCGACCTTCACACTAGCCCCAGGAGAGAAGGACAAGGAGTCACATCTTCATTTTAAAGATGAAGTAATGGAGGTCCAGGGAAGGCCAAGATCCCAGGGTGAGGTAGTCATGTTCTACGACTAGAGCCCAGGGTTCTTGATTCTAGTATATTATGCTGCCTCCACAATGTGTGCTGGCTTTGCTGTACTCATCCTTCTGTTTTCTGGATCCTATAAATTCTCTAAGGACTTCATTGGTGTGTGTAGTCTGTCTACTCATGAACATTACAACTCATTCTGTGTTATTCTTGCCTGAGCCTTTCCAAAAGTCCTCCACAATACCCCAAAGTGCTGGAGACCTCTTATCTTTTCCTTCAGTAACCCAGGCTTCCTGTCCTTTGTCTCCCATACTCTTGGTTTGAAACACTTCCATTTCTGGTCATAGATTAATTTGACAAACATTGCTTGACTCCTTACGAATATATAAGACACCGTGCTAGACACTGGGGATACAAAGAGGAAAAAATAATATTTGATCTTAAGAAGCTTATATTCTACTTTAATTTCACTTATAAGAAGACTATCAATGAGTTCAATTGCTCTAGTCATTGATCAACTTGTTGGCCATGGACAAAGACCTTTGTTAACCAACAGTTAAATTGCTGTTTGTCAATATTCTCAGAATTGTGTCATCACCCTCTGACTTCTTTTCTGCTGTTCTGTCAATATGAAAGCAGCAGGGGCTGCAGAGGACCTTGAGATCTCTCTTTCGTGTTTGTTCCATGGGTCACTTGGTGGCCAATCAGCTGGTAAGAACACTTTCCATATTTCCCTAGACTGGTACTCAGATGAGATAATCACAGTTCATTGCAAGGTTTATATCTGAATTCTTTCCAGTTTGTTAGAATCTACCCAAGCTAGAGCTCCCCTGGAATAGCCTTCAAGAACCCCAGGACAACTTCCCATTATAAGCAAGCTTAGGAGTATGGGTTTTGTGGTTAACATCTTCATATCATACATGTATGAACCTGGGGTAAGTCACTTAACTTCTATTTGCTTCAGTTTCTTCCTCCGTGGAATGGGGGTAATAGTAGCACCTACCTCCTGGAATTCTTGTCAGGATCAAATAAGATATTTGTAAAGTGTTTAGCACAGTTCCTGGTGCATCGTAGGTGCTTAATAAATTAATAAATTTCCTTCTTTCCTTCCTTCCTTCCGTTCTTTCCTTCCTTCCTTCCTTCCTTCCTTCCTTCCTTCCTTCCTTCCTTCCTTCCTTCCTTCCTTCGTTCCTTCCTTTCTCCATCCCTCTCTCACTTCCACCCTCCCTTCCTTTCCTCATTGTATCTATGTTTTAAATAAATACAAATAATGGAAATATCACTAGATTAGGCCTTTTAGAGGCAATGTTTCATTTTTGTTGACTAATAGTGGCAACTTCCAGCTAGCAGGCTGAAAGCTTCCTGGTAGACCCAGTTTTCTATTGGTTAGTCATAGGTTTTCACTAAAAATGTCAAAATGTTACAATTTATTCTGGGGCTTCAGTGATCTTAAAAAAATTATTTCTGGTGATGTGATTTTTCTAGCCATTTTGTAAATGGGGCATTTTGTTTATTGCATGACCTTAGGCAAATCTTGAATGGTTTTGGGTACCATTTGCTTTTTCTCCCTGGTTCAGGAGCTCCTTGAGTATAGAGCCATCTCTTGCATTCTTGATATATGTTGGCCACAGCTATTCACTTCATTTTGTGGGCAAGGAAGCTTGGAGAAGAGCTCCCACTTTCAGGGATATGTCCTCACACTACTTATAGAAACCAGAGATTTTCCCTCTCAAAGCAGTAACTCTGTTTCCCTTATTTTATACACATAAGTCCTTTACCTTTCCTACACAAAACTTTGGGGACAAGTGTAAGGGAGGATGGTGAATGATATGAGTGATGGAGGAAGTCAAAAGTAAGGGGCAGACTTGAAAGGAATGAGTTAGAATATGGGTAGTGAGACTGGGAAATGGCAACTTGATTGCAGGAGCCAATGGCTTTTCTCTCTGTATGACTACATTGATGGGACTGCAAGAGCAAAGCAGAAACTCCCTTGGATTTGCCCAGGACTCTTGGGCCTGAGGCATAAGGTGAATGGCACCTCATTTATTAAGGCTGAGGATCTGGAAGCAAAATTGTGCCCATCTGAAAGTGAAGCCACCCTGGATGCAGACCTGCTCCCCCATCACAGGTCATTTGCAAAAGGAAAAAAGTACCCCAAGATCCTGCATCACACCAACAAATGCTGATCCACTTCCAGAATTTTTGTCTTTAATGAAAGCCCTCATCCCTACCTTGCTAGGAACAACAGAGGAAAGAGAACTTCCTGGCTTTGGGACTGTCTATCATAGGAAGGTCAATGTCAAGATGGATAAAAAATGGTGGCTTGGGGAATTAAGTGCTGGGTGCCTGGGAATTAACCAGCTTTAGTCCATTTCCCCTATAAAAACCTGTATACAGGCATGCCTTTGTAAGTACCTTCAAAGAAACACAGACAATAAAAGGACAAAGTGAAAGGCTAATAGGATGGAGACCTAGCCAGTGATCTAGGGCCACAACCTAGACAGGTGAGAGTCCTTGACTGACAGCCACATGGCCCAAGGTCTTGACTACTGAATAGGACTAGGCACTGATCATGGCACATAATTAGACTGCTTACCCTCATTTGTTAAGAGTACGGTTTCTTGGGTATAGTGCATATATCAATCCCCTCCATGTTTTACTGGTCCTCATATATTGGTGTGTCTGAAAATATGCCCCCATGGATAAACCCTTCTGAATTTTGCTAGGCTATCTACAGATCACAAACAGACAACCTGTCCACCAGAGCTCAGACCTGAAGCTTTTCCAGCTTGGTAGGATCTACCAAAGACTGAACTTGATCAATATATCCTTAAGAATCAAAAGACACCTCCACATTATGATGAGGAATGGGCCTTTGGGGTAAGTAAAACACTAGATCCTAAGCCACCATTTATTATTTCTAACGAAATGAGAAGACAAGAAAGTGAGCCCAAGGAATGGCGTCAAAAATTAATGATGTCCAAATACAACAAGAATGACCATTTAATTTGTCAAGCATTCATGACGGTCAACAAATGCTTTTGTAAATAATATACATATCGGTAATTAATATGTTTTAATGTTTTAAACAAGCTAAATTTCTTTTATGACAACATAAAGCATCTGTAGTGGCTAATTCACCAGCATTTCCTGGTTAGCATGCAAGGTCATTGTATGTGATTATTCTTATAAGCAAGGTGCTATATCAGGGTGCCATATCACATCTGTGGATAGATAAATGGCATTTAAATATAATCCAGATATTAATGGACCTTTTCCAGCCCTTTATGAATTCCCTTTTATGCATCAATGCAGTACCTGATTTTTAAAGGAATGAAAACTTTGATGCATATCATTGTAATAAGAGATTGCATACGTCATATTTGAAAGTCTTCCCTGCATATTTAAATAAACAATTATTTATGTCTGATAATTTTTAAAAAACTGAAAATTCAGCCATCAGTTGGATATTCATCAAGCCATTGACTCCACCCTATGCTTCCATCACACTAAAAAGCAAAGTTGCAAGGATATAGCCTCTGCATGAGTCTGCTGATTGATCTCAATCAATGTCAGTCAAAGTGTATTTTGCCATCAGGTACTTCTAAGTTACCAATGGCTCCATTGCAAACCATCTGAGGGGTTAAGGAAGATGTTTTCTTGGCATTACTCTTCATCAAGTGAAGTCGATAGGCCTTCTGGATGATAGCAGCACATCGCTCTTCCTCCATGCGCTTTGTGGTGGTCACAATTGGTTCATATAACTTCTTGTTAGGATTGGCCTCCATGAATTTCTCTTCCATCTGACTTTTAAGGCAATCCATACCTTCTGAGTCCCCCAGCACTCTTGTGGTAAAAGCAAACAGTATATCCATGCAGTGAAGTCGATTGCCACTGACCATGGGCAGATCCATCAGTAGGAGCTGATTTCTGTTTGGCTTGGCCACACGTAAGGGTTCTGGCAAGGCATCAGCAAAGTCTGAGAGAGCTGAGTATTTGATGAATTGTGTTGCTTCAGGATCAAATTTTTCCCAAGTTTCATAGAATATGTCAAAGTCATCCTCACTTAAGGGATCCTCACTCTCTTCAGTGGCAGTGTTGAAGTTTTCTAAAATCACAGCAATGTACATGTTGACAACAATTAGGAAGGAGATAATGATGTAACTGACAAAGAATGTAATTGCCATGACGGAGCTCACACAGTCACTATCTGGTTTAGCGTCATTTTTAGGACAAGAACTTTCTGGGTTACAAGTTTCAGAATTACAAGCATTCTCTGGGTTACAACATGAATATTTTGAACTCAACATAGGACTTAAGAGGGCATCCCAACCTGCTGATGTAGTGATTTGGAAAAGACAGAGCATGCTATTGCCAAAGGTTCGAAAGTTGAACATGTCATCAATCCCTGCCTCATATTTCACCTGGGAAAAATTAGTCATACCAATAATGGCATAGATAAACATGACCAGAAAGAGCAAAAGTCCAATGTTGAATAGGGAAGGAAGTGACATCATCAATGCAAAAAGAAGAGTCCGTATTCCTTTAGCTGCTCGAACAAGTCTGAGTATTCGGCCAATCCGAGCCAAGCGAATGACTCTGAAGAGCACAGGAGGGAATGGAATTGCCTTACTCGATTCCAGAACAGAAACAATAAGGCCTTTAGAAAAAAATAAAATAATTAATTTTCCAGAAGACATTCTGAATTCATGTGAACATAGAACATTTTCTAGCTATAGATCGTGCTTTACTTTCATGTTATCAGGGAAGTGTTGAGCCCAGTCCCTAAAAGGCATTTTGAAGAAGTGAAATTATCGACAATTTAAAAGATAGCATTTGAAGTAAAAAGGTTGATTTCTAAATGTCCTTAAATGTTAACAATTTTGGTTTGGGTTTGTGTGTCCCTAAGAAATGGGCCCTTTCTCGAAATGTTGGATAGAATTTGAGAGCTAGGTAGCAGGTGATTACTTATTAGTGCAGCTTTGAATGGCCTCTCAAGGGCAGGGCTGTAATCTCATTGCCTTCTCAAGGATCCTTTGATTCTACGGTGAACCTTAGGGATGAGAGCACACAAGCAAATATAAAGACTGGACTCCATTAGAAAAAAAAAGTTCCTTGTATCTTTTGGTGACACAGGAGGAATCATAGATTTTCTTCAGATTTGGATTCTTATTCTGGCTTTTTCAGTCAGTTGAGAAACATTTACTCAATGTCTACATGCACCAGGCACTGTGCTAAACACTGGAGACACAGTGAAGGGCAAAAGACAGTCTTTGACCTTGAGGAGCTCAGTTCAGTCTAATGGGGGAGACAACATATGAATAATTATGGGCAAACACTTTGTATTCAGGATAAATTAGAAATAATCAATAGAGAGAAGGGCCTAGGACTAAAAGAAATTGGGAAAGGCTTCCAATAGTCGGGTTTTGAGTGGGGATCTGAAGGAAGCTAAGGATTTGAGTGGGGATATGAGGGAAGCTAAGGAAGCCAGGAGGCAGAGATGGGGAAGGAGAGGGTTCCAGGAATGGGGGACAGCCTGAGAAAATGTCTGGAGCCCAAAGATGGAGTGTTTTGTTCATGGAATTTCCATGAGGCTAATAATGTCACTGAATCAAAGAGTTGGTGAGTAAGGTATAAGAAGCCTAGAAAGTTAGGAGGGGACTAGGTCATGTAGGATTTTGAATGCTAAACAGCATTTAATATTTGATCCTGGAGGCAAAGGGGAGTAATTGGAGTTTAATGAGTAGGATGGAGTGACATGGTTGGATCTGCACTTTAGGAAAATCAGTTTGGTGGCTCAGCAGAGGATGGATTGGAATGGGGAGATCCTCAAGCCAGGCAGACCCACCAGGAGCCTATTACAGTAGTCCAGGCATGAGGAGATAAGGGTCTGCAGCAGTAGGGTGATAGCATCAGAATGGAAAAGGAACATATCTGAGAGGGGCTGCAGAGGCAAAATCGACAGGAATTGGCATTTGATCAGATATGGAGGTGAGGGAGTGAGATGTCAAGGAGGACACCTTCTTCTTCAAAAATAAGTAGGTATAGTAAAAAACCAGGGTTCAAACACCAGATTTGCTACTAGATTTGTGACTGAGGCACACAACCATGATCCCACAACTAGCTAATGGCTAAACCACTATGAGCTTTGTGATTACGGCATTTATCCTTTCAGCCTCAATGTCATTATTTGTGGAATTGGGACAAAAGTATTTGTCCTATTTCACAGGGGTGCTATGGGAACAGTGTTCGTAAACACTAAAGCCAGTATTAATGTGGGTTCTTATTCACATTAATGATAAATGATGATGATGATAATAGCTTAGGATATTTTATGTTGCGTTTTTTTTTTTAATAAATTCACCATTCCCTAACACAAGTACGATGGGGCAAAGAGGGGAAGCTCCTCTGCTCTGAGGACTCATGGCCATTTCTCATGTCCCAGTTCAGTGCTGAAGGTTTCGGCCCTTTGGGGTGACATAGCAAACCTTAAGTGGCCCCTTGGTCCTCTTTCAGTCTAAAAGAAAAGGCATTTTTTTTTCTCTTTTCCTTCCTCTCTCTGGTACTTTCCACCCATGGGGGATGGGAGGGTCCAAGGGATCATCCAGGGTTCATTACCTTATCCCATAGCACCAAACCCCAGAATCTGAGCCAGAACACACAAGGCCCATCAGAAGTGTACAAGGCTCTTACAGGTAGTGGGAGGGGAGAATTTCTCTCATTATGCAAGAAAAGAAATATTTGTGTGATTAAAGGCCTATTAGCAATGTAAATGTGAAGTTACCAACTTAGACTCCTGAGAAACAGAATGAGCAAAACAATGAAGCCCCTCAAGTTGAAGACATTCAGAATGGGGAAGAATTTGACTTTAGTGAGCAGAAGAAGATTAGGAAGAAGCTCATCGGAGGTCTGAGCTGGCTTATGCTGCTCTTGCCATGTCAGGGGCAACTATCCTAAGGGCACTAAATGTTTCTGTTGAGTTTGGGAGGGCAGGAAGAGCTGAACTGTCACTTTGGATCCCAGCACGCCACAATATGTGTTTATCCCTCTGCTTGTCCAGAATGTTTGTCTTTGTTTCTTTTTATTTGAGGATCAGTTGTTACTGTGTCTCTATCATGTGACTATAGTGCCTCCCATCAAAAGTTCCTAGATGGTGGGGAGCCTCATGTCTATTGACGCGGACCTGGATTTTTTTTATACTATGTCCTCTCCCCTGCCCCAGCCCCACCGAAGTGTAAGTGAACTTTCCCACCTTGGTTTCACGTAGTACTTTGGATCTCTCTGATGCATTCATTGACTTTGGTTATTCCAAACCTTCTCTCACGGGTTGGACAAGATGTTAGAGGTGCCACTGGACTGATTCTAAAATTCCTTCAGCCCTCAATACTACTCCATATCCCCTTACTTTTAACATGACCTTGTCTTCTACTTTACTGGGAAGATTAGGGTTACCTGATTTGAGAAGTCTCTGCTTCATTCAAAGCCTGGATCTTGGAAGATCGTTTGACCTTCAGCAAGTCACTTCATTTTTCTGGGCCTCAGTTACCTTACATGTAAAATGAGGAAGGTGGAATTTCCAGCTCTAAATCTATGATTCACCTGCATTCACACTCCTCCACAACCTGACTCCTCTCTACTTTTTCCTGAGGCTCACCTTAAAAGTGTCCTATGTTCAAGGCCAAGGGGATGATTCACCCACTACCTCTCGTTTTGTCTGATCCCCTTCCATCTCAGTAGCTTTCATCTTTCTGCCTTCTGTGTATATTTAGACTGAACTACCCCTCATTTCCATTTACAAAATAGCACTTTCTCCATAAAGCCTTCCCTGATGATCCCTAGATGAAAGTCAAGTGTTCTTCATCTTAACCTCTAAGACTTTGGCTCTCTCCTTTTTATCAAACACATTCTAAGCTATATTATGTCAATTTGGGGGTCCAAGAGAATGAAGGCAGAGAGATAGACAACACAGTGTGTGGAAGATTGGGCTTACAGTCAGGAAGACCTGAGTTCAAACCCTTTCTCTAACACCTTTATATCTGTGTGACCCTGCGCAAGTCACTTCACTTAATCTCTGAGACTCTTTCCTCGTCTATAACATGGAGATAATAATGGTCCCTCTCTCCCAATGTTGTTGTGAGGATCATTTGAGATAACATCTACAAAGTGCTTTGAAAACTTTAAAGTGCTCTCTACATGCTAGATCTCATCATCCTCATCCTCATCCTCACCATCACCATCATCATCTTCATCATCCTCATCCTCATCCTCACCATCACCATCATCATCTTCATCATCCTCATCACCACCATCATCATCATCATCTTCATCATCCTCATCCTCATCATCACCATCATCATCATCATCTTCATCATCCTCATCATCCTCATCCTCATCATCACCATCATCATCATCATCTTCATCATCCTCATCATCCTCATCCTCATTATGCCCACCACCACCACCACCACCATCATCATCCTTAAAAAGCACAGTACTTAAGGGGATGCTGAGCCCTCAAACTTAACAACTGTGTCACTTGGAGGACAGTTATTTGACCGCTCAGAGCTCCAGTGGCCTCATTTATAAAATAAGGTTAACAATATTGCTGTCCTCTGTCCTAGGTGGACCATGTTTGGATCCTCTGTTCCATTCTCTGTCACATTTTATGAAGAATGCAAAATAAAGAGTGTACAGAGAAGGGGAACCAGTGTGGTAAGAGGCTTGGAGATCATCTATATGAACACTAATTGAACGAACAGAGAATGTTTGGGTTGGAGAAGACTGAGGGGGACCTGACAGGAGTCAAATCTTCACAGATTTAAAGGGTTGACCTATTTTAAAAGAATTAGCCTTATTCCACTTGGCCCCAGAATTCAGAATAAGGAACAATAGGTGGGTGTTGAAAGGAAGAAAATTAAGATTTACTGTAAGAAAAAAAAGTCCCCAGCAATTAGATTTGTCCCGAAGTGGAATGGATGGCCTGGGGAGGTGATGGGCTCTTCCTCACTAGAGAACCTTGAATATTGACTGCCTGAGGCTTGTCATGTGGCAGTCCATGTTGTAGAGGGGTTTTCAACCACATTTAGCTTAGATTGCATATCTCTAAGGTCCTTGCCAATACTTAGCTTCTGGGGTACTTGAGATACCTCTTGTGACTAGCTAAAAAAGCATTTTGTAACTCTAAAAGTGCTATACTGTGGGCAAATATTATTATTATTGCTGCATGTCTTATCTCCTCTATAAATGCTCTCTCCCCCACCTCAAATTTTCATATATTTACTAATCCCTGTGCTTGTTCTATCTCTGGTAGAATCACAACTCTTAGAGCATAAAGACTCTTCTATGTTTTGTCTTCGTATCCTGTGTATGTAGTAGAGTCCGTGCTCATAACCCAGGCTTAATAACTACTTGTTGAATTGAGTTGTTTTGTATTATAGTTATTTCTGTATGTGTCACCTCCCCCTACTGGACTTAAATTGTAAGATTCATGGGGGTAAAGATTGGATATTAGCTAAACTTTGATCTCACCCAGGACCTACCCATTATAGTGTTTTATATACACTAGGCACTTAATAAATGCTCACTGAATTGAAATTTTTCACTTCATTTTGGTACCATAGACAAAATCAAATAGATGGAAATTAGGCCATAACCTCTCCTGACTTTACAGCATCGAGTGATATTCAAAAAGCTAGTCAAGTTTTCAAAATGCCATGCAGATTGATGCTAAAATTGTATCAGGTATTTATAGCTTATGAAACTGTAGTTCACTTCAACATATTTCTCAGAGCCTCTAGTTATAAACCCTGGCTGCCATCTTTACTTACTAACAATGGACAGCACCACGACCACACAGTCAAATAAGTTCCAACCATTAGCAAAGTAGAATTGCCTCAGAGCAAAGATTTTCAAGAGACATTCAACTGTGAAGATGACAACAAAGACCAAGTTGAGGGTGTCCAGAAGGTGTGCCTTCTGTATGTTGGGTCCTTCAGGAGAGTCTGTTTCTGCCATCATGGTGATCATATTAAGGCAAATGAGAGTTATGATGAAAATGTCAAAGGCCTGGCTTGTGACTACATCAAACACAAAAGCTTGGCATTTGTTCTGAGGAAAAAAGACAAAGGAGAGATCAATGTAAATTATAGGCATCTTATCACGCAGGTAACATCAATGAAGCACCCATTAGCAGTCTTTCCTCCAAACTACAAGGATAGAATTCAAAGGGGGAAACGGTTTTGTCTTCCCAAAGGACACTTTGGGAATATTTAGGTGGATCTATAATCCGGATATTAGGGGATCTCTAGTCACTGGTGTATGGTGATTCGTGAAACTTGAGAAATCAAATCTGGTCATTTTCTGAGGTTCAACTATGATAGCCCAAATGTCATTCTGAGATCTCATTTTACACTACATAGTGGATCCAACAGGTCAAATGGTAGAGTTACCTCTATTTGGTGGGATCCTCTTCACTAGTGTTAAATGGGCCTTATTGCCAGCAATTAATGTGAAACAGCCAATTTCTTCTCACTGGGGTAAAGGCAGGTAGTCCTCTATTCCTCTATTACTGTTTTTGTTTGGTTTTGTGTTACCAGAAACCTAGACAGACTGTACCCCTTTAAATGGCTCTTCTTCCTCTCAGGGTCCTTTTTATTGTACCAAATGAGTAAACTAGATGTTCTACAGACATCTCAGGTTCAACATGCTCACAAGAGGACTCATCTTTCCTTCCAAACTCCTCCTTCTAGAAGCTTCACTTTTTGTGTCAAAGGTACCACCAATCCCTCCCATCTCTCAAGTTGGTAACCTTGGCATTGCCCTTGCCTCTTCATTTTCCCTCACCGCACACATCCAGTCATCTATAAACATTTCCATTTCTACCTCCACACCATCTCTGCCGCCCCTCCCCTTCTTTCCACTGTAGCCCAGGCCCTCAGCATCTTTTTCCTGGACTACTGCAGCTACCTCTTAATTAGTCTCTCCTTCCCGAGTCTATCCCTATTCCAGTCTCTCCTCCACACAACTGCCCAAATGATTTTCCTGAAGAAAAGTCTGACCAGGTCATTCCTCAACTCAGTCAGCACCAATGGATTTCTACAACCCCTAAGATAAATACAGACTTTCCTGTTTGGCTTTTAAAGCCTTTGACAACCTGGCCTCCGATGTCCCTTTCAGCCTCACCATACATTACCCCCTCTCTTATTCTCTCTCGCCTAGCCAAACTGACTTTGTGGCTATTGTTCACACATCTCCAAGCATTCACCATCCCTCATGCCTGGAACATTCTCTCTCCTGACACAGTTAGAAGCTTCTGCTGAGGACCAGCCGCCTTCTTCCACAGTGGTGGGGTAAACAGTTCTACCTCCCCTGTCATCAGAAAGCAAGCCACCTTTGGATAGCCACCCCATTGTTGCTACAAGGTCTCCCAGAGAAGGACGTGGGCAATGACTCCTTCATACTACATTGGCTATAATGAGAACCCATCAGGTTCTGGCTCCAGCAAGCAAAAGGCTAGGGTAAGGTTTAGAATCTAGTCATAAACACTCACTAGCTGTGTGGCCCTGGGCAAGTCAGTTAACCTCTGTTTGCCTTAGTCCACTGGAGAAGGAAATGGCAAACCACTCCAGTATCTTTGCCAAGAAAACCTCATACAGGGTCAAGAAGAGTTGGGCCTGCTTGAATGACCGCATAACAACAAGGATTTAAAAGCATCACTAACCACTGAACTGATGCCAGGGATTACACTTCACCTGCTTGACTGCTGCTTTGGCTTATACCGCAGTCTATTCTGCTGCCCAGTACTTCTAGGATCCACACTGTGTGCACACCTCTATCACTGCCCTGCTTTCCTCCAGGCTAAACTTCCCAAATCCTTTATCCAATCCTTATTTGACACAGACTCAAGGTCTCTTGCCATCCTGGTTGTTTTCCTCTGGATGGTCTCTAGTTTATCAATGTCCCTCTAAAACCTGGTAGCCAGAAACCAGGCCCCGAGTTCTAATCCTACCAGACTTCTAACTTACCAGACCACTAACTCTAATCCTACCATATGCCTAGCCCATTGGATCCTTTCCTCTAAACCCAACTTCTGTAGCTAACCTCTTACTTCACCCTTACTGGTCCTCAAATACCTAACCCTAATTATTGGATCTATAACACACTAGTCTGACCAGATCAAGGATACTACAGATACTACTCAAACTAAGAAGCTGGATAAAAATTTTGAACCATTTGTTTAGCTGGGAAGGGAAAGAGAGGCCAAAAGAGAGGGAAAATAGATAAACGAATCCATAAGAAGAAAGATAAAGTATCAACTTAATTAAATTTGAGGAATTTACATGTCTGACAATCAAAACTTTAAATGTGAATAGATTAAACAATCTAATTAGTGAAAGAGTAGCATAATGGGTAAGAAAAAAACTGAATGATTTGACACATAAAGAATCTAAAAATAAAAGTATTTATAAATTGAAAACAAGAGAATGAAACAAAATCAATTTTTACAAAAGATGATTTGAAAAAAGGAGGAGCTGCAACCTTGATAACAGGCAAAGCAAAAATAAATACTGACGATTTCAAGAGCGTTAACAAAGAAACCACCTCATGCTCAAATGTATCATAGACACTGAAATAATATTAATACTAAAGATGTAAGCACACAATGGCATAAAACCCAAATTCTTAAAGGTAAGGTTAACTGAATTGGGGGGGGGGAAGAGATGTAGAGAGTAACACAATAATTACAAAAGACTTTTATGTTCTTTTCTCAGAGCTGGATAAATTCAAAAGAAAGATTTTTTTTTTCAAAAGGAAAATATGTAACTGAACAAAGTTTGTAGAAGTTAGATCTGGAATAATTTTGGTCTTCTGAATGGAATATTAAAGAAAATTCATATATCTCAGCACCACTCAATACTTTTACAAAAATTGACTGATGGAAGAAAAGTTCAAAAAGACAGAACTTTTGAGAAGAACTAGGGGAGAGAAATGTCACAAAAACCCAGCTAGGAAAGAGTATTTAGGAGGATAGAGTGGTCAGCAGTGTCAAATTCTGAAAAGCAGTCAAGAAGGATAAAGAATGAGATCATTCAAATAGATTTGGCAATTAAGATATCATTGGTGACTTTGGAAAGGGCAATTTCATTTGAGTAATGAGGTCAGAAGTTAGATCTCAATGCAGAGTAAGAGATAGTGAACAGGTAGGGAGCTAAGACAGTAAGTATAGGTAGCTTTTTCAAGATAGACAGCAGGTTATGAACTGTGGATGGCAGGGAAAGGTAGCAGCCATCCAGTCAAAAAGCCCATGTGGAAGACAAAGTGCAGCTAAGCAGAGACACCCAACAGTGAGCAAAGCAATGACTTAGCCAGAGGTCCCCAGCATCTCTACAGCACTGGAGATGAGTCAGCCTAGATAGGAGGGATTTTTGTGTGTGTTACCTTCCTGTGCATGTCCTCTGGCCATGCATATTCATAATATTTATGTCTGCTCTCCCAGGGCCAGTGTGGCAATGTAGGGGGAAAACATATGCTTATGTGTACAGGGGAGATCTTTCTTACCTTTTATTTCATTCTACTCTTTGAGTGGCTAGTTCTTCTTTATATGAATGCACCTTCTGGTTTATCTAATAAAAGAACTACATTGTTGGAGATTTCATGGATACTGTCCCCTAAAATGACTTTAATCTGAAGTCACTTTCTGGAATCTCAAATGTGATAGAGGCTCCCTGGAGTTACATTAATATTAAAATTTATACTCTACCTGGAATTTATTCGACAAATGTATGAATGGGTGATTAAAGAAATGAATATGTTAAATAGTAAAAGTGAATGCAAATACAGTTATAATTTAGGGCAACTGATATAAAACAAGATCATAAGTTTAATTCATCACCATTTCCTGAGTATCAAATCAATAAAGTGACAAACATTTATTAAGTATCTATTATGTGCTAAGCACTGGGGATACAAAAAGAGGCAAAAGACAGTGTCTATAACTACCTGCTAAACCATCTTTGGAAAATAAATTGCTGCCTAGACTCTATTTAAGTTCAACTTTAATGTTCAAAACCTTAATTTTAAAGATTATAGACAAAAAGAGATCTTTATGAGAGCATAACATTTATAAATTTATCTCTGCCTGTAATTTGAAGTAGATTATCTTACATTGCTGCTCCTTCTCTACCCCCACCAATTAGCCCTTGAGATAAGATAACTACAGAAAGATAAATCAGAGAAAGAAAACTATAGATCAATATCTCTAATGAATATCAAAGCAAAAATATTGAATAAAATATTAGCATAACTTGAAGGAATATCCAGCAAAGAAAACTGAGAAGGAGCAGTCCAACAAGACATGAAGAGTATCAGAAGAGATTGGTGTCTTCAAAAGAAAGGAGAGAGTATATAGGAGAAGAGAGTGATCAACAGTGTCAAAGACCAGAGAGTGGGTTAAGAAGGATGTGGATTGGATAAAGACACTCAGAGTTGGTAATTAAGAGATGATAGATAACTTTGGAAAGGTTTGCTTGAATGATGACATCAGAAGCCAGACTGCAGAATGGTTCAGAATTGAGTGAGAGGAGAGGACATGGAGGTACTAGTATAGATGGTACTAAGGGAGGCATGAGGCATACAAATAAAAAGAATGAAACAATCCCTATTCACAAGGAGCTTACATTCCACTGGGGTTGGCATGCATAAATATATAAGGAGAACAAATATAAATACAAGCTAGGTAAATATAAGATAATTTGGGAGGCAGTAAACCAGAAGTTGGGGTGATATGGAAAGGCTTCAAGTAGAAGGAAATGCTTGAGTTGTTTTCTTGAAAGAAGAGAGTGATTCTGTGGGGCAAAGGTGAGGAGGGACTACATTCCAGGTATGACAGAAGGCCAGATATAAAGGGAAATAGCTAAAATATATGGGAACAAGATCTGACAGATGAATGGTGAAGGGCCCTCTATAAGGGAAAATCAAGGGATCCACAACAATATGAAAAATGATTCAAATCACTCACAATAAGAGAAATGTGAGTTAAACCAACCCAGATTCCACTTCATACATACCAGATTAGCAAATGTGACCTAAAGGGAAAATGGTCATTGTTGGAGGAGGCTGCACAAGGATAGGCACACTAATACACTGTTGATTGGGTTATAAAATGGTCCAAACACACAAATTGTGGCACAGGAACATAACAGAGAGCAGTTTAGTACTTCACCTCAAAAGTCACTCAATTGCTCATTTCCATTGACCCAGTGATAACATTTAACCCCAAAGAAATCAGAGAAAGAAGGAAAGAACCCATATACACAAAAGTGTTTATAGCAGCACTTTTCATCGTAGCAAAGAGCTGGGAACAAAGTCCATCGATTGGGGAATGACTATAGAAGCTATGGTATATGAATGTATATAGTATATGAATGTGAGAAAGTTTTATTGATCTGTAAGAAATAATGAAAGGAGATGGATTTAGAGAAACCAGGTTGGACTTAAACACTTTGACACAGACTGAAATAAGCAGAACCAATAGAACAATTTATACAATAATCATGACATTATAAAGGAAAACAACTGTGAAAGACTGAAGAATGATGATGATGCAATGATCAATCACAGCTCCAGAAGACTGACGATTAAGTGAGCTTTCCACTTGTTGACAGGGGAGTGATGAACTGGAGGTGTGTCATGACACACACATTCTCAGACACAGATAATATGGAGATTTGCTTTGCTCGTGTGTGTGTGAGAGTGTGTTTTATATAGGTTATATATATGTGTGTGTGTAAATATATATATAGTAACATATATATACTATATATATAGTAACATATATACGATATACATAGTAATATATATATATACTATATATGTATTAAATATATATATATATATATATATATATAGTAACAGACTTGGGGAGGGGGTAATTTTATCGGTGTAAGAGGTTAGTAATAACAGTATAAAAAAGAAGAGAAAGTAAAGAGTGTTAATGGAACATTTAAAAAAAATACAGAGAAGAAAGCAGAAGGAAGTTCATAAGGAAATATAAATCACAAAGACAGTGTTGGAACCACTGTTTTAAATTTAGCGTACACTTAAAAAAGAAAAGCAAGTTGTATGTAAGAGACATTCGTGGTTTCATGATTTTCTGTTTTGCCTTGTATTCAGAAAAAGTTCATGTTTGTTAAGTTCATAATAATAAGAAATATTTTTTTAAAGAATTCATTCATTCACCCTTGGCTAAAGTCCTCCTGTGATACTTCATAGTGTGACGAAGGTGGCTTTGACTTCTTGCAGGCCAGGTCAGCAGAATGCCAGTCTACCCACACTCTACCAGGTATAAGCCCAGAACCAGATTGTGTGATTGGCAGAAGTTAATTCATATCAGCTTTAGGTGATGAGCTTTTCAGCCACAACAATTCTCAAAGACCACCCTCCAAGCTGCAAACAGGATCGTTATAATCTAATCAGAGGAGGGAGGGCCCATGTCTACAAGCTCATGGATATTGAAGTAATGAAGGAGGTATCTTACAAAGAAACCATAGCATTTCATAAACTTAATTTTGTCCCCTATCTATGGTAAGTATATTTATAACAACTCAGTTGATCTCACCAAAGGCCTTGGAATAGGTTTTTGGGGCTTCTTTGATCCCAGCTTTTTCATTGCATTGTAATATTTTTTCTGCTCCTCTGTCATGAAGATATCTTGGCCACCTAAGTACATTGGAGAGACACTGTTATTCCTTTATGTGTCCATTGTGGGATACCATCTGAAGTTTCAGAAATGAAGCTTTGTATTTCTATAATTTTCTATTGACAGAAAGCCACATGGAACAGACTAGAAGACCGTCCTGCAAAGTTAGGGAAGGTCATTCATTGATAGCTTATTTTCATCTTAACCAAGGATAGAACAATAAAAATTACATCTATAATGCTTAATAGATATGAAGATGACATTTTTGGTAGTCAGACCTATCTTTTGGGAAGAAAGCAATCTTTTTCAAACTCTTTATCACATCTTTATTAAAATCTAAAGACGATTATAATCTATCTAAATGGTTTAAAATCTCCATGAAAACAGGGAGATGGACTAGATGACCTCGTACAGGTTTACAAATAACTTGCTTCTTGACAATTAAAACGAATAAACATTTCCAAAGGCAAGTAAGGGGAAACTTGGACTCTCCTACAATAACCGTCTTTAGCAAGAGGAGAGTTCTCAGTCTGAAAAATAGTCTTGGGACAGCTATGTCAAGAAGCTATGGGGCAGCTAGGTGGTGCAGTGAATAGAATACCAGCCCTGGAGCTCAGGAGGACCTGAGTTCAAATCCAGCCCAGACACTTACTAGATGTGTGACCCTAGGCAAGTCACAACCCCAATTGCCTCAAAAAAAAAAAAAGAGGCTGTGAGGTCTTAAAGTCATTCTTACTCCTGCATTCTGCACTTTCTTAAGGCCCTTTCACTAATGGTATTGCAAAAGGATGGAGAAGATGGGTGGGAAAGATGTTGTGGTTCTAAATTAGAGGGACGATTTTGTTTTCCAAGGATGTCCTAGCAGAGGGAATGTGGAAGTAGTCTATCTGGAAGAGAGCTCTCAGACACTCTCAGAGAGAAACATGAGTGGTGGTGACAAATCCAAGCACTGTGCTGTTTGCCTTGATGCCCCAAATGATTTCATTCAAGAGGCTCTTTTAACCTGGCATTAGGAACCTCAATTCGGGGTGAATAGGGGGAGATGGGGAGTGTTTATAACACAGCCCCAAGTCATGTCTCTGAGGCTTGTTTGATGGAAGGTCAGTTCTATTTCATTGCCTCATTTGCTCCTAAATAACTGAGGAAACCTGAAAAACTATGAAAATGCAAACAAGTAACATGAATATACCCCATGGTGAGGTTATCTTCAGTTATGAATTCACGGCAATAAAGTCCTTTGGGGCAAAAGGAGAGGACAGGAGAGGAGAGGGAGGGGAGGAGAGAAGAGGAGAGGAGAGATAAAGGGACAGACAACATTCCAAAGAGGCCTAAATTTCAGTCTCTTTCAGCATGTTGCCTCCTTATTAGTGGAAGGGGGCAATTTGGACCCTTTTCTAGGACACAGGTGGTACACTGTAGGCTTAGCTCTCATTCAGATGGTGAAATCCTTAATGCCCTCCATCTATGGTAATCCATAGAAAGCACCTAGGATGGCACCACAGACATCATTGGTGATCTTTGGGCATGGAGATGAGCAGACCCAGGACTAGGAGAAGGTAAGGCAGGCAGTCACCGAGGGTATAACACACAAGAGGATGCAACAGGGGGTGCTTTCCAACATTATCAATGTAAATATTTTTTAAGTCCAGAAATTCTCTTCTCCACAGCATGGAAATACGGCTTTTATAACATCAAATCCCATGTGTTACAATGACAAGACTACCAGGGGCAAGAACTTGAACTTTGCTTTGATTGTTACAGGTGACCTCCCCTATATGGAAACTCCCTCTGCCAAAGCAGGTCATCACCTTCTTTGTATCTTATAGTCTTGAAAGTTGCCCAGGGCATTGAGATATTAAGTGACTCACTCTGAGTCACACAGCCAGTGTGTGCTAGGGTAGGGTCATGAATCCTAGGCCTTTCTGGCTCAAAAGTTGGCTCTTGATATGACATGCTGACAGTAACACAGTAGCACAATTTTCACTTCCTGATTAAGGATTGCAAATGCTTTCTCCTGGCCCTGGGGACAAGGATCTTCTCTCTGCAAAAGGTGCAGAACAAGCCAGGACATTCAGGATACTTATCTTTTTTTGCTGTTGGTTAAAGTTATCAATGATAACACCAATGAAAAGATTCAATGTGAAGAAGGAGCCAAAAATGATAAAAACAACGAAGTAGAGATATGCAGCTTTATTTGCCTCGAAGTTGGGCTGCTGCTTTTCCTGTGGAGGTGAAAACACAGAAGAGAAAAATCATGAGGGAAAGATATATTCTCATTCTTATATCTTATTCAAGGACCATGATAATATCTCAGTTAAAACCACTCAGTCGCATCATGTAATATCAGAAAACATCCTAAATTACTGCTGTAGTATATTTAGATTATTATGGGCTATTTAACCCCAACAGAGAGCACTGGTCTACATTGCTATCATAGCACATCTTATTTTTCATTTTTAAAACTATATTATTTATTTATTTTTAATATTCTTTTCTTTTTAAATTTTGAGTTCTGCATTCTTTCCTTCCTTCCTTCCCTCCCATTCCCTCCCGTTCATTGAGAAGACAAGCAATATGGTATCAATTACAGCATACTTGTGAAATCACATAGAACACTTCCATACTAGCCATATCACAAAAAAGCAAGAAAATTATACTTCAATTTGTACTCAGAGTTCATCAGTTCTCTCTCTGGAGATGGATAGTATTTTTCATCATGACTCCTTTGGAATTGTCTTGGATCATTATATTGATCAGAGTAGCCAAATCATTCACAGTTGATCAACATTGCTGTTACTGTGCACAATGGGTGCACAATGGGTTCTTGCATCAGTTCATTTAAGTCTTATTATGTTTTTTTCCTGAAGTTATCCCTTGTCATTTCTTATTGCATAATAGTAGCCCATAACAATGATAAGCTACAACTTGTTCAGCCATTCCCCAATTGATGAGTATCCCCTCAATTTCCAGTTCTTTGCCAGTACAAAAAGCTGCTATAAGCATTTTTGCATATATAGGTCATTTTCCTTGTTCTTTGATATCTTTGGGGTATAGACGTAGTAGCAGTATTGCCGGGTCAAAGGATGTACACAGTTTTATCACTCTTTGGACAAAGTTACAAATTGTTCTGCAGATCGATTAGACCAGTTCACAACTCCACCAAGTTTATTAGTCTACCTATTTTCCCTCACCTCCTCCATCATTTGTCATTTCTGATAGGTGTGAAGTGGTACTTCAGAGGTGTTTTAATTTGCATTTCTTTAATCAATAGTGATTTAGAGCATTTTTCATATGACTATAAATAGTTTTGATTTCTTTTTCTAAAAACTGCCTGTTCATATATTTGATCATTTATCAATTAGGATCTGGCTTTTATTTTTATAAATTTGACTCAGTTCCCTATATGAGAAATGAAGACTTTATCAGAGAAATTTGCCCTTAAAAATTTTATATTACTTCATTATCTATGATACTTTCAGAAAAATGTAGTTTCCCTGCTTATCTCTTTTAATTAGGTCTATTTTGACTTTTGCTTTGTCTGAGATCATAACTGTTACACCTGATTTTTTATTTCAGATGAAACAAATTAGGTTCTCCTCCAGCCCTTTATTCGAACTCTCTTGTGTGTTTTTCTGTTTCAAGTCTGTCTCTTGTATACAACATATTGCTGGATTTGGGTTTTTGAATCCATTCTGCTATATTCTGTTTCATGGGTGAGTTCATCCTATTCACATTCACAGTTATGATTACTAACTGTATATTTCCCTCCTCTCTCTCTCTCTCTCTCTCTCTCTCTCTCTCTCTCTCTCTCTTCTCTCTCTCTCTCTCTTCCTCCTCCTCCTCAAAAGTCTATTTTGCTTCTGATTACTGCCTCCTTTAATCTACCCTCCTTTTTATCACCCCCCCCATATCTCTTATTCACTTACCCTCCTATTTTTCTATTGGGTAAGATAGATTTCTATATCCAACTGAGTGTGTATATATGTATATTATTCCCTTTTTGAACCAATTCCAATGACAGTGAGGTTCAATCATTGCCCACTGAATCATTTTCCCCTCCACTATAAAAGTTCTTCCTTGAGTGTTTCTTTTATGTGAGAAAATTTGCCCCATTCTACCTCTCCCTTCCCCCTTCTTCCCATGTATCCCTCTTTCTCCATTTTTATTTAGAAATAGACTTACATTCATGCCCTCTGTCTATATAGACTCCTTTTAACTTCCCTGATAATGATAAAGTTCTTAGGAGTTACATGTACCATCTTTCCACATAGGAATGTAAGCAGTTTAACCTTACTGAATCTCTTATGATTACTCTTTTAGGTTTACCTTCATATGCTTCTCTTGAGTCTTCTCTTTGAATGTCAAATTTTTTACTCAGCTTTGGTCTTTTCATGAGGAATACTTGGAAGTCTTCTATTTCATTAAATATCCATTTTCCCCAAAGGATTATACTTCATTTTACTGGGTAGGTTATTCTTGGTTGTAATCCTAGCTCCTTTTCCTTTGAGAATATCTTATTCTAAGCCCTCCACTCTTTTAACATGGAAACTGCTAAATCTTGTATGATCCTGACTGTGGCTTGTTTCTGCTTGACATTTCTTTTCGGCTGCTTGAAATATTTTCTCCTTGACCTGAGAGCTCTGAAAATTGGCTATAATATTCTTGGGAGTTTTCATTTTGGGATCTCTTTCAGGAAGTGATTGGCAGATTCTTTCAATTTCTATTTTACCCTCTGGATCTAGGATATCAGGGCAGCCTTCTTGGTAATTTCTTGAAATGTGATGTCTAGGATCTTTGTTAATCATGGCTTTCAAGTAGTCCAACAATTCTTAAACTATCTCACCTTGATCTGTTTTCCAGGTCAGTTGTTTTTCCAATGAGATTTTCTTTTACTTTTTTTATTCTTCTGGCTTTGTTTTATTGTTTCTTAATGTCTTGTGGACATCTCATGGACAAGCTTCCACTTACCCAATTCTAATTTTTAAGGAATTGTTTTCTTAGTGAGCTTTTGTTCTCTTTTTCCATTTGTTTCATTCTTATTTTTAAGGATTTCTTTTCTTCAGTGAATTTTTGTGCCTCTTTTACCATTAGGCCAATTCTATTTTTTAGGTGTAATTTTCTTCAGTATATTTTTTTACCTCTTTTATTAAGCTGTTAGTATTGTTTTCATAATTTTCTTGTATATCTCTCATTTCTTTCCAAAATTTTCCTCTACCTCTCATCCCTTTCTTTAACTCTTCCAGGAATTCTTGTTGAGCTTGGGACTGATTAGCATTTTTCTTTGAGGCTTTGCTTGTAGTTATTTTATTATTTTTTACTTCATCTAAGTTTATGTCTTGGTCTTCCCTGCCACCATAGCAGCTTTTCATGGTCACGTTCTTTTGTTGGCTCATTTTTCTAGCATATTTTTTGACTTTGAATGTTATGTTGAAGTTGGGCTCTGCTCACCTGAAGGTGGGGAGGCACTGTCCCAGGCCTTTGGCTTTTTTGTGCTTCTGCTTTCAGAGGTAGTACTGGGTATTTACAAGTTTTCATTGCTTCCAAAGTGGTTTGATCCAGGGCAAGGTGTGGTCACTGCTGTCCTGGTCTGCACGCTGGTCTTTACCTTGCTGTCCTGTAGCCACAAGTGCTGGTGCTTCTCTCCACCTTGGAACTAGAACCAGGGCACCTGCTCCCTTGTGACTGACTACTAATGCTCTTCTCCATCCTGGAACTATGACCCAGAACTTCTCATAGGCAATAGAATTGCTAATCAGTGCCAGCTGCACCCAGTGCCAGCAAAGGGTTCCCTGTAACCTGTTTCTGATCAATCATCCAACCCCCTTATGATCTCAGGCTGACAGCTCCCAGAGATGCTGCCACCTCCAAGGCCCACAGCTGGTGCTCCTGTCACATTATGGGCTGACTCTCACCCCAGTGTTACAGACTTCAACTGCTGAATTTCTAAGTTGTCTTAGGCTGTAAAATGTCTCACTCTGACCTTTTGTTGGCTGTGCTACTCCAAAATTTGATTTAAGGTGTTACTTTAAAGTTGTTTGGAGTGAAATGCTGGGAGAGTTCAGCTGGGTGGATACCTCTAATCTGCCATCTTGGCTCTGCCCCCACATCCAGCTTTAAGAACCAGCATGTGACAGGGTGGTAAGCCCTGGAATTGGTGTTAGGTGGCTTTAGTTTAATTCCTAGCTCTCACAATTATCAGCTATGTGATCATGGATAAGTTGTTTTACCTGAGTCAGAATTTCTTTGTCTATAAAAAAGGGATAACCATCCCTGGGCTGCTTTTCTCACTGAGTTGTTATTACAAGCACCAGCAAGCAAAAACCACACAAAAATCTCACAAAAAGTGAGATATTAATATTAATAACAATTTAGACCTAACCATGGTAGGAAGCTGAGGCCATACACAGCTTGGTCAGACCTCATCTTCCTTGCCTCAAACTTCAGACATTATTGTTAAAGATCTTTTCTGGAAGGACTGAAAGATCAGCATGACTACACTTAAGTGGTATGAGTTCATTTTGCTAAAACCGTCTTCTCACAAGCCATCCATAACCCAGTCTTTCACTATCAGAGACAGTGGTGATTCTGGCATTAGAATCATTTGGAGAGTCCATTTTCAGACAGCCACAATGTCTGAAAACTTAGTGTATGTAAACTATGTCAAACACACATGGACTTCGAGAAGCTCCTAAGGAGAGAAAAAACAGTAGTATGTGTGTCTGCATGTGCACATTTTATGAGGCAAAGTGGAAGGAGGCAGGAGATGTAGTTTCCGGTCTCAACTCTATCTCTGGCTTGCTATGTGACCTGGGGTAATTCTTCACTTCTCTGGATCTGGATTTTCTCTTCTGTAATATTAGGGTTGGACATGGCCCTTTCCAGCTCTGGGTAAATCAATGGTGTTATTTTATTATTATTATTATTTTTTTTTTGGTTTACAACTCTGACTTCTATCTCTCTATCCCCCTGGGGCATGAACTCATTTCCTGAGCCCTCAGCATCTATGACTCTGGAGCTAAGCAGGGAGGAAGAGATTCAGGCGAAAATACTCCACCTTTCTGATTCCAAGCAGCAGAAATATTAGAAGCTCTCTTACTTAGAGATCAAGTTTCCCAGAATTCTGCACCCAAATCAGATAGCTAAGGAAACATCTGTGCTGGCTGCTCACTTAGATTTCCTCCCTTATGGGTATTTTTAGGCTGCCAAACAATGACCTCTCTGATAATAGCAATATGCCCCCTCCAATATAATCCAAAATGCCCTGTTGAGATTACCCAGTTACTTTCAGAGATAACCCAGAAATTTACCCAGGGTCTCCGACTTACCCCTCTTGAATCTACAGCTGCATACATAATGTCCATCCAACCTTTAAATGTTGCCTGGAGCAAAAGAACAAAAGTAAACATTGTTATACAGTATTTTTCCAGGAATGAAATATAAACAACATCAATATACATTATTATACATTCATACACAAGGGAATATTAGAAATTAACAGAGTATAGAAAACTGTTGAGCCTTAAGGTATTTATAATTCAAATTAAAGGAAAACTTCAAGAACAAAAGTCATGAATTTGAGTTGGAAAAGACCTGAATGGCCATATATTTCAACCCACACATGAAAGAAAACCCTACTGTAATATTCCTGAACAATGGTCATCTAGCCTCTGTTTGAAGACACCCAAAGAAGAGAACCCATAACTTCCCCAAGCAGGTCAATGCTATTTTTGATGGTCTGAAGTGTTAAGAAGTGTCTCCCAATGTCAAGCCTTTCACTGTTATTACTTATTTCTCCTGGTCCTACTGTCCAGAATCAAACAGTACAAGCCCATTTCCATCTCAACATGGCAGCTCTTCAACTACACAGACATAGCTGTTTGATCACTCATGATTTCTTTCTCCCAACTAAACATTCCCTGTTTCTCCAACTGGTCCTCATATGACATGGACTCAAGGCCTGGAAGGAGGCAAAGAATGAGATAGGGGAAGAAATTGCAGAGATCAGAAGCAAGTTGACAAAGAAGGAAGAATTCCTTGAAGAAAACAAACAAGTAGCTAGAAGCCTTCCCAGTTTCAGGATTCAACATTCTAGAGACTGGAAGGGAAATAGAGAATGGTGAGGAAAAGTCAAATTAAAAAAAAAAAGCAGGATGATGAGAACGAGAAAAATTCTGAGTTCTACAGATTGCCTAGGAAAAGATAAGAAAAAGCCTTTATACTCAGAAAAGAACTTCATAATAAAGATACTCATTCCAGCAAATAAAAAAGGAAAGAAAAGGCCCAGAAAAGGTCTATTAGAGAGAACTAAATGAAGACAAAGGATTAGTGTCAAGTCCAAGTACTGCTGGACCATGTGATATATATGGACTATTGTATCCACGTGGGGTCCAGAACATAGGCTGGGGAACTGACTCTGCCTCAAAACCCACCCTCCATCAGGACAGCAATTCACAACCAAAAAAATCCCTACCATTTAAATATTTAAATACATGACCGTCTAGTGTGAAGCTCAATGGTATGGAGAAAATAGTTCTCCAAAGTGGGTTGGGGCTTGGTATCACTTACTTACTGCCTTGATACACTGCATAAAATAAGAATGAGCCTCCATAGGGAGATAGGTAGTTGAACCTCAAGGACAAAATAGCAGTAATCCAGGAAGAGGCTACACTTGAGATACAGGTGCTCATCATTAGTAATCACGGTCCTGATATGTAATGAGGAAGAAGCATTCATAGAGTGGCAAAGAGTTACCCTTACAATATGGCAGTAGTCCTACTGCCTGGCAGCCCTAGAACTTCCACATGTCCAGTGATATGTAGTCTGAGAAGGCAAAAGTATGGTCTATCTAGTGAAAACTTCTACAGGAAGCAGGATGGTCTTTCCATATTGACCATCCTAGTTGAGGAAGACATTGGATTATTTGTATCTGGATTATTCATATCTGGTGCCAAAGGATGCCCAACTTATCTGAAGTGTTGTACTACTCTGAGCCATATAACATTTTGGTTCTGGATTCTTTGAGACTGGATTGTGTGAATTCATTGAACATTGTTCAAAGCATCTTAATCTTATCTGTCTTGGGTTCTCTGTCACAGCAGACTCAGACTCAGTAGGTAAGAGATCCTTAGACAGTAGAAAAGGAAACACTGACAGCCATATTACCACTAACAATGGAACCCAGCAATAATGGCCAGACAATGAGTCTGTAGCCAACTTACTTCTCTTCCATTTCTTAAACCTTAAACTATATATTCCAACTTATTTTTGTCCTTTTCTGCTCCCACCTTACAGGGGCACCAGCTACCGAGGTATGTGTTCATACAGCTTGTAAGTTCTTATTGATTTCTTCCTAAACCTTCGTTACATTTTCATCCTCTGCATCAGATGCCAATGAAGTAAGTATTCATGAGTGACAGTGGCCAAAGAAAAATTATTAGATTATTGATCATCCTTCTGGTGTTAATACTCTACATATGTAACCAAACTGATCTTTTGAAAAAAGACTCGATGTCTCTAGATGACTATAGTTTTTCTAACTAGATATAAATTGACTGAGCTTATACTCTGCTGGCACAACCTTCAAGAATCCTTCTTATTTTAAATATAGCAGGTGCTCAAAAGTATTTTTTAAAACAAATTTTATTCAAATGTTATTTTTTACATCAACAGAATTTCTTCCAGTATCTTACCCCTACTTATCCCTCACAGAGAGCCATCCCATATAACAAATATTTTAAAAGGAAAAAAGTGAATAATTTAGCAAAATCAACCTAAACACTAAAAAATTATGAAAATATGTGTAATGTTCCACACCTGTGGACTTCCTATTTCAAAAAATAGTGGAGTGGGGGTGTCTTTGAGGCCATGCTTATTCTTTGTAAATTTTTTTTATAATTTTGCTATTATTTTTTCTATTATTGTTTTATTTATATTATTTCTAGTTATTGTATATATTCTTTTCTTCATCCTTCATAAATTCATATAGATTTCGTGTTTCTTTGTATCATGTCAATCACTTGTTACAAGACAGCAATGTCCATTACATTCATGGACCACTCCAATTTGTTTAGCAGTTTTCCAGTTGACAGGCATCTACTTTGTTTCCATTTTATCATAAAAAGCATATATCATGTTATCATATAAGTATTATAAATAATTTAGGTATAGATGTGGATTTTCTTTTTATCAATTTCCTCCTTGAAACATAAGCACAGTATTGATTTGCTTAATGACAAATTGCTTTCCAAAATGGTTGTACTGATTCACAGGTTCATCAACAATGCAATCCTTCCAACACCGACTATTCATATCTTTTGCCAACTTTGCCATCTTTAAAGATTTTTAGAACTCTCCTGTAAATCCATCAGGTTCCGGAGTTTCTTTAATAGTTCCTTTACAGCTAAATATAATTCTTTTTTTGAGATTTAGTTATTTAAGATCCATATTTGGTCTTCTTTCAGTATGGGTATTTTATATTTTTAAGGTATTCTTTCTTTTATGAACACACTTTTGGTAGCATATAACCATGCATAATTCTTTTTTTATTTTTCTGTTTTTATTGTTATTTTACCTTGATCATTTGAAATTTGTTGATTAAAATAGAGGAGAAAATCAACTATCTCATTGGAAAAACAACTGACCTTGAAAACAGATCAAGGAGAGATAATACAAGAATTGCTGGACCACCCGAAAGTTGTGATCAAAAAGAGTGTAGACATCATACTTCAAAAAAGAAAATTTTAAGGAAAATTGTCCTGAAGTTTTAGAACTAGAGGGAAAAATGGAAATTGGAAAAAATCCACCAATCACACCTGAAAGAGATACCAAAATGAAAACTCGCAAGTTTCAAAGCTCCCAGGTCAAAGAGAAAATATTACAAGCAACGACAAAGAAGAAATTTAAATATGGTAGAGCTATAGTTAGGATACACAAAGATATAGTTAGGATACACAAGATTTAGCAGCTTCTACATTAAAAGATTAAAGGTCATGGAATATATTCCAGAGAGCAAAGGAATCATATCTGCAACCAAGAATAACCAACCCAGAAAAGCTGAGTGTAATCCTACAAGGGAAAAAAAAATTGATATCTAAAGAATTAAAGGATTTTCAGACATTCTCGAGAAAAAGACCAGAACTGAACAGAAAGTTAGACTTTCAAATACAAGAATCAGAAGAAACCTCAGAAGGTAAACATGAAAGGCTAATCATAAGGGATTTAATAAGGTTAATCTATTTACTGTCTCATATAGGAAAACTATATTTGTAACTCTTAAGAATGTTATTGTTATTAGGGCAGTTAGAGTGTATGTAGACAGAGGACTTGAGCTTAAGTTCATTATAATGGGATTGTCCTAAAAAAAATTGTGTAGGAAGAGGTAAAATGGAGCAAATTATCTCATGCAAAAGAGGTATGAATGGAAAAACTTTTGCAATGAAGGACAATATGGGGTGAATGGCACAGCATGGGAACCTTATTTTCATCAGAGCTGGCTTAAAGATGGAATGACATACATCTGGATGGGTATAAAAGTCTTCTTAACTTATAGAGTAATAGGAGAGTATGGTGATAGGATAAAGGGAGGTACTCAGAAGACTGCTGATAGGGAGGTAATAATCAAAAGTAAACTAGACTTCTGAGGAGGGGCATGGTAAAAAGGAAGAGGATAAAAAGTGGGGGAAAATAGGACGGAGGGAAATACAAAACTAGTCATTATAACTTTGAACGTAAATGGAATGAACTCACCCAACAAATAGAAGAATAGATCAAAACCCAGAAACTGACAATATGTTGTTTACAAGAAACACATTCAAAAAATGAGTAAAACTAAAGGGCTGGAATATAATTTATTATGCTTCAGCTGATGTAAAAAAAAAAGAAGGGATAGCAGTCCTGATCTCAGACAAAGTTAAAACTAAAATGGATTTAATTGAAAGAGAAAAGGTACCATAGATAATTAATATCACTACTAAACATACACGCACCAAATGTTATAGCATCCAAATTTATAAAGGAAAAGGTAAATGAATTACAGGTAGAAATAAGTAGCAAAATCCAAATAGTGGGAAACTTCAACTTTTCCTTCTCAGATAAATTTAACCCAAAAATAAACAAACAAACAAAAAAAACAAACAAACAAACAACAAACAAATAAATAAATGAATGAATGAATAAATAAACAAATAAATAAATAAGGGAGAATTCAAGGAGATGAACAGAATCTTAAATAAGCTTGATATGATAGGTGTCTGAATGGGAAAGGAAAGAATATACCATTTTCTTGGTAGTACATAGCACCTTTACAAAAATTTACCAAAATTAGGAGACAACTGAAATTACTTCACCAATTGTACATAATTTTATACTTGGGGGGAGGGGT